GTTTGGTTGTGATGTATGTAATGCGCCGCTACCAGGGCTAACTGGTATATTAAGCTTTTCCCAAATCCCCGGGCAATAACGTCTTTCCCCTTGATAAAATTCACAAAACATTCTCTTTGTTCCGGCTTTAAATCTTCGATCTCGGGAATCGTTGCCAACACAGAATGTATGGCTCTTTACTGATTGGCTGGTGCCTGAACTCGCACTTCCAGGGTTTTTGGGAACCGTTTAGAGCAGACATGTCAAACTCAGGCCCAGGGGCCAAATTTGTCCCGTGATATAATTATATTTAGCCTGCAAGATCATATCAAATATGTATTAGAGCTGCCCGCTGGCTACAGATAGGTTATAGAGACATTATTTATGAAAAATGTTATTATTTTAAATTTTGCTTGTTCTGGATACAATGTTTAAGCAAAACTATTAATAAACATTTATTTTAATGAGAAAGGGTTTAACATTACATATCTCGAAAGAAGAAAAAACATGCAGATGTTGTTGAAATGTTTCAGTAAATATTTAGTTTGGCCCACGATTTAGTCCCAGTTTTTAATTTTGGCCTCTGTGAATTTGAGTTTGACACCCCCGGTCTAGTGTATTCCGATCCCTGACCTAGTCGCTGGAGTTAAATGAAACTGAGCAGAGGCACTAGGTGGCACCAGCCCAGCTAACCTTACGTCGCACTTACATCAGAAATCAGGAAGACGTTTGAAAAGATGCGATGATAACTTCCAGTGTAGTTCCCGACACTGGGCTCACCGACCGACTGTGATAAAACCCGTTGAAGTAAATGTGATCTGCAGTAAAATGAAGACTGCAAATGTATGTGCTGTTTGGAATCATCTTGAATCTGTCGCCCTCATCTCTTCTAACTGCATGTACCCAGTGCGCTCGGAGTTGTGTGTCACTGTGGAAATGTTGAAAACTGAGGATGTCAATAAGTGTACCCTAAAATAAAGTGTTACCAAGTACTTTTTACTTTTCAGTCTAAAGTGTAGTGGAGTAGAAAGTACGTACAGATAACTGCTCTCAAATGTAGTGAAGTAAATGTAAAATGTTTCCATTGTAAAATTTACTCAAATAAATATATACATAAAATTAGCATTTTAGTATTATACTTTTACTTTTGTACTTCATTACCTTCCACCATTGTCAAGTTGTAGTAACAAACAGAAATAGAGAATTTAGGGTCTTTGAATGTTTATGGAATTATGGGCTCTATTCACACTTACAAAATCTAGAAAAAATTTGAAAATGTTCCAGTTTTCTTCATCTACATGTCATTGAAGCGTTCCATTATGTTCGACTAATCAACAATTCCAACCAACAATCTGCTAATTAGCATAGTTGTAAATGGTTAATTTGTCATTACCTTATTTTCCGAGCTATTAGTCGCTCTGGATTATAAGGCACACTGTCATTAAATGGTCTATTTTTGATCTTTTTTCACAAATAAACTGCACCAGACTTTGAAAGGAAACACAACAGTTGGATGGGTCAGTGGTTTTGTTTGTTTGTAGCGTTCACGGTGACTCTGGGCTTTGTTCAGTTGTGGCGTGTAGGGAGGGTGCTGTCTGGGACCGCTGGATTGTCGGCGTGTTCGCAGTGACTCAGTTGTTCAGTTGTGTCTAGAAGTGGCACATTGCACTCGCTTTTTCGGTTCGTTCCTCCGCTCCGTTCCTCGTCGGCGTGGAGTGATGAGTGTGTCTGCGGGTGTTTTTCACTGTGTGGGCGCTGTCTGCTCCGTGCGTGTTTGCGTGCGCTGCTTTGTAGTTTACTGTAGTCGTGCTGGGACACCCGAGTGGATTCGTGTATAGGGCGATCTAAATTGTGGGGCGCGCATTCGTTTTTTTAATGGGGTTGGAGGCTTAAGAGCGCGTCTAATAGCCCAGAAAATACTGTAATTATTCCTTATTAATGTCTAATTCCCCATAAGCTTATTCTGCTATTAGTTTATTTTACATTTACAAACACTTTCTTATTAATACATTCCTTATTACTGCTTATTAATATAATATTAGGCAATTTCTGTTCATGAATTATGGTTCTGTTAAGCTTTTGGCACAAGTAAGTAAAAACTAAATTTCTTGTGCTATTAGTTCTTAACAACAAAGCTTATTAGAATCATAATTCATGGACAAAAATGGCTTAATATCAAACTAATAAGCAGTAATAATGAGTGTATTAATAGGAAAGTGTTTGTAAATGTTTAACTAATAGACGAATAAGTTTATGGGGAATTAGACATTAATAATAGCTGAATAAATAATAATTCATGACAAATTAACCGTCTACTTTTTTTTTTTTTTTTTAGCACATCTAGTTTGAGTTAATGTCACAACTTGGAGCAAAAGTGCCTAGAAAAAATAAATAAGAAATCATTTGAATCACTTAAAATCTGCTCAATTCTTTTCAGTTGCTCAATGCTCAATTCAGAATCACTACATTTTATTTCAAAATCTTCCTGTGTTGCTAAGTGGATAATAGTAACAACATCGAACGCCGTGTCTGCTATTTATATGTCTGTGCATCAAACACTGTGTCTAATTATATGTCTGCGGGTAATTTTATAAATGATACCTAGCGACCATGACGTCTAATTTACTAATCACATGTACCCAGTTGTGTGTCAGTGGGGAAATGATGAAAACTGAGGCGTGGTTGTAATAATAGAACGCTACAATGGCATGTAGACGAAGAAAACTCTGCCATTTTCTTATGTTTAGTAAGTTGGGAAGTTGTCGTTGCATTACAGATTACAGACAGATGATGACATGACAGATTAGACCAATGAACTCAATTAAAGCCTCCCAGATTCATTTATAAACTGCACATTAAGGAGTATAAGAGGGATTATTACACTTCTTTGGGATATTAACTGTTAACGAATGTAACCGAGTGACTGGACTGTGTTGCGTCCGTGGGTGCGTCCACCTCTGCGTCGCTGCGCGTGGCTCCCGGCGTCACTGATTGCGCGACTAGAAAAGGCTGCGCACGCCGTGATGTGGCAGTCGGGGCTTTCGGTGGCTTTTGAAGGCAGCGCGTGTAAGTGCCGGAGTTGTTGTTTTAATATTTCTTATAGAATTTGCTTTAATGCGATGTGTCTGACTACATTTTAAAGGTCGTCTGGAGTAGGCGCTCCGAGCCCCATGTAGAGTGCCCCCCTCCCCCTTCTAAATTTGCGGTAAATGCTCTTTTGTTGTTTATCTGGGGTGGTGGTCGCTACTTGAAGCTAATTTATTTTTCCCTGTGTAACAGATTGCCACATTGCTCTTTATTCTTTATCTTATTCTTAGTGTTGGTTTTAATTGAATATTGCTTAACAGTAGCTGAGGTCTCGGAGGGAAGTGCAATATTTGGTCAGTGCAATGCGAGGTCAGGTCTCAGGGTTGGCACGAGTCACTTTCGCCCAAGTAGGCCTCCTTAGCACGAGCATTTTCACCAGCTGGATTTTTATGTCCTTTATTGTAACGAAGTCTACCTCAGACACCTTGGCACACGCACTTTAAGTATTATTACATTCTCCAGGTTTACAGCGCACCCGCACTTTAACTTATTGTAAATGTAGGGTTCAACTAGTGTTTGCTTTTTTGGTATTAATGTTTGGTTTGGATTATTAATTTGATTTGTTGTGTTTTTAGTTTGGGTGGGGTTGAGTTTATGACAATTGAGTGGTGTGTAATTGTATCAAGAAGGGAATCAGAAAATGAAATATATTTTTTAAATGTTTAGAAGATTAAATAAAGAGGTGTAACTTTTATACCACATTGCCCTTGTCCTTTTTTATGCCAGAAAGGGTTCTCGGTCGCAACATTACACAAGTAACATATTTAGATCACCATGTCACATTTTATTGTTTTGACTCTTCTCGTCCTTTGCTCCCCATGCTAAGTCGAGTTCAAGGTTCCAGTTTACATGGAAATAATTATTCCAAATTGAGGTTTACACGGAAAACACGTTAAATCGCCTTTATTTAATTCCGCTCAACGTCTAGGGGTCGGGAAGGGTTTTGATTGAACAGAGACACGAACGTACCAGAAGAAAACACACACTTCAGCTGCTACCGGCTTTTTTTTTGGTCGTCTCGGTTTGTCGTTACGCCACGGACACAAACGTGATCCAAACTTTTTTCGCGGCCGTTCTAATGATGATAAAACGGCAGCTGGAGAAACCTCTCATCGCGCTTTACGTCTGTCGGCTGAGGAGGAGAAGGGAAGAGCGTCGGAGAAGGGAGGAAGAAGACAAACTGAGTCAACGGCTGCTCTACCTCAGCCCACTCCCGCATCCCGCTCGCAAATCCAAAGAGCAGTGGATGAAAGTCCGAAGGGCAAAAATAGCTTTGAATCGAGACCAACATTTGTTCTGATCCGCCATCTTGCAGTGCGTCATCGCGTTAGAAGAGCGACCCAATGCGTATGCACTGAAAAAACAGACTTATTTTTAAGAAGAATAAACGTTTACATGACTGAGAGATAAATTAATTCGGCTTTAAAATCGGAATAAACCACCCGCTTACTTCGGAATGAAAATTAATTTAGAATAATCATCAGGAATTAAGTGTTTACATGGTGTTTTAAAAGCAGAATTTGTTTTTATTCTGAATTAAAGCTCTGATGTAAATGTGGCAATTCATCGTGCATCCCGCTAATAAAACTCGTGCACATCGCATCAGGTTTGTCAAGTTGTTGTGCACAGTTTTGTATCATATTTTTGTGTATTTATGGAGAATTGTCGTGTGGGAGCGTGAGCTTTGTACAGAATCTTAGAGCTAAACGTAAAGAGAGTTTGAATAGGGCCTGGGGAAAAAATAAATCACACAATTACTGCATGAATGAAAACTAAAACTCTCGAGACATGGTTTTAATGAGGGAAAAACATGGTAGAAAGTCAAAAAAAAAGAAGCCTAATGCATAATATCTCCTCTTTAAATAAATGTGGCAGGTCAGACGGTTGGTTTAACCCGTGTTTCTGCTCGGCTGGGTTCGGTTCAGCTCTGTTACCTTCTGAGTGGATGTGTCTGTGGTGATGTGGTCCACGTCCACCTCCTCCATCTCCCCCATTTTCAGACGGCTCACCACCACTGTCCCCGCTGCACACTCACCATCGGATGACCTGAGAATGCAAAGAGAAGCCGCTCGTTAGACTAGAACTAAAACATGTCATTGTTAAAGCTGCACTGTGTAACTTTTTGGTTGGGGTTTGGTCACCAACCTACAGCTCAAAAATACCATGAAAAACAACATTCTGACGGTGAGCGGGGTCGTTTCTCCACAGATCTGACCTGTAACTTGGTTTGGTTTGGTCTCCAGGAAAATAGAAACCTTTAATTCCATACTTTAAGTCAGGGGTGTCAAACTCATTTTGGTCCGGGGGCCGAATCCAACCTACTTTGATCCGAAAGGGGCCGGATCAGAAAACTCATGTCATATGTACCCCAAAAATAACAATAACTTCAAATATTTGTGCAGCGAAACGCAAATCTATTACAGAAATCTTTTTTAATTGATTAACTCTTTCTTATTATAATATTATAATATCATGAACAACCTGAAACTTGAAGAAAAATTCAATTTCAACACAATGTTTTAACAACAACTTGTATGCAAACAGGAATAAGTCAATTTTTCTTGGAAAATTCTACACTCAGCTCCACTTTTCTCATGTTGGACATTTTTCTGATGAGGGTGTCACGGTCAACAGTCAAAACGATCGTCCTTTAAGAGCGTTTGGAAAGAGACAAGTCTTCATTTGTGCTGCTCTGGTGGGAGGAGCCACGTACAGAGACGCTGGAGACACTGCTATGCTAAGCCCTGCAGAAAATTAAATATATATCTTAAATATAATTAAAATATTTTAGTAGAAAATCACCCAAGGGCCACATTAAAGGTCTTGGAGGGCCGGATCTGGCCCCCGGGCCTTATGTTTGACACCCGTGCTTTAAGTAGTGTTCTCACGATACTGATACAAAATTTCCAAACTCAATTTCGATACTCAATACTGATCTCGATACTACGGTAATAATAAAATCACTCTTTCTTTAGACCAGTGTTTCCCAAACTTTTTTTCTGGGGACCCATACTTTAAAAGTCACAAACCTTCGTGACTGGATTTGACCATTATTGAACATTAATGAGGATATTTTATTGTTGACTGAGTGATCGTGTCCCTAAATTAGTATTACTCAGGTTTTAAACAATGAAAAACAGTCATTGATCCAGCAATAAAAGTCGCCTATTTGGACATTAAATGTAGCCCATTTCCTTTCCTTTTCAACATTCAATTGTACAAAATAGTCAATAAAATAATAACAAAAAGATGAGAAATTATACAAAACATGTCTTAACATTTCAACATGTGTTAGAACTGTATATCACAGACGTACATGTAGATCGTGACAAGACGACCCAAAAAAAAAGTCTAAGATGTGGCTTTTGACCGGTAGTGTATACTGTGGGTTCGATACAATATATTTGAAATCGATTTGATAAGGTTCAATGAAAAATAATGTCTAAATCATGTCTGTGATACCAAAAGTCTTTGTTAAACCACTTCTTGTGCAAAGTTCATATGAAACACAAACATTTTAATCCTCAAAACAGTGAAAATGTCAAATGTGTCGCATAAACGAGTTTCCTTTCACTAATCAAGCAACAAAACTGCAGCGCTGTAACAAAATCATTTAGTAAAATATGCCAAAAATACTCTTGGTGATATATCGATACAACAGCCCACAATATCAATACTGTATCATCACATTAAATAATACGATATATCGATATTTGTATATTTTTGCACATTCCTAGTTGTTACGATACTAAGGAATAGACTCAATACTCAATAATTATTCTGATACCACCTCTTTTTTTTAGACAATAGAATGTGATTTTCAACATTAAACATTGTGTGTGTGTGTGTGTGTGTGTGTGTGTGTGTGTGTGTGTGTGTGTGTGTGTGTGTGTGTGTGTGTGTGTGTGTGTGTGTGTGTATGTATGTACACTGTTGGGCAAGTTACTTTAAAACTGTAATGTGTTATTTATGACTTGGTACTGACATTTCAAAGTGATTCATTACATTACAATATTACTGTATTTAAAATGTAAAACATTACATGACTACTACTGCTAAACCAGGTCTAAACCAGGACTAAACCAGGACAAAACCAGGACTAAACCAGGGGAAACCAGGTAAACCAGGACTAAACCAGGTCTAAACCAGGAAACTAAACCAGGTCTAAACCAGGAAACCAGGTCTAAACCAGGACTCCAGGTAAACCAGGTCTAAAACCAGGTCTAAACCAGGTAAACCAGGTCTAAACCAGGTCTAAACCAGGACTAAACCAGGTAAACCAGGACTAAACCAGGTCTAAACCAGGTAAACCAGGAAAACCAGGACTAAACCAGGTCTAAACCAGGACTAAACCAGGTCTAAACCAGGACTAAACCAGGGCTAAACCAGGTAAACCAGGACTAAACCAGGTAAACCAGGTAAACCAGGACCAGGTAAACCAGGTCTAAACCAGGACTAAACCAGGTCTAAACCAGGTCTAAACCAGGTCTAAACTAAACCAGGTAAACCAGGACTAAACCAGGACTAAACCAGGACTAAACCAGGACTAAACCAGGACTAAACCAGGTAAACCAGGTAAACCAGGACTAAACCAGGACTAAACCAGGTAAACCAGGTAACTAAACCAGGTCTAAACCAGGTCTACTAAACCAGGTAAACCAGGACTAAACCAGGACCAGGTAAACCAGGTCTAAACCAGGAAACCAGGGGAAACCAGGTCTAAACCAGGTCTAAACCAGGTCTAAACCAGGACTAAACCAGGACTAAACAGGTAAACCAGGACTAAACCAGGTCTAAACCAGGGTAAACCAGGACTAAACCAGGTAAACCAGGTAAACCAGGACTAAACCAGTAAACCAGGTCTAAACCAGGTCTAAACCAGGACCCAGGACTAAACCACTAAACCAGGGACAAACCCCCTAGGACTGGAAACCAGGACCCGTGGAGCAAACCAGCTGCCCAGCAAAGCGCGATCGGGCGTCAGCTGTGATTCACCCCATGGAGCGTGGAGTTCTGCGTCGCGTAGACCGTCGGGTGACCGCGGGCGCACCTCTCAATGTCCAGACATTCAGAACCGTAACCATGCCGTTTCACCGCTGCTGATATCATGGCGATTTTAGCAAATTTGTATGAAGAAAACCAAAAAACCCACCACTTCAATCTAGGTTAAAAATGCATTGTGACGCACGTTACTGACATTTGTACCAAGTTTTTTCCCTGAAATGCTAAACATTACTGCGTTACAGCAAAAAGCAACGCATTACAGTAACACGTGACTCCTAAAATTGTGTATGTATGTGCTTGTTTGAGGCTTTCCAGAGACTAAAACCCGACTCAGAGTTTTCATACCAGAGCGTTCCAACAGTCCCTGCCTCCATCATGGCGTCATTATTAAGAGTCTGATAGAAAATCCATAGTATTGGCAGACGCACAGCTCGTCTCAAATGAAGAAAAATGCTCCCCGGGCCTCTCTCTGAGCGCACTCCGATCACCTTAACAGACCCGCCCCTCAGAGCTCAGTGCCACTCGGACGAACGTGCACCTCTACGGGCGGGGTGTTCAGCAGTTACCACGGAGACGCAATGCCAGACGTGAGCGAACACGGACGAAAATGCTTTAAACCCAAGAAAATACACGGCGTGGATTTGAAGACGCACGGTGTGACTTTTTCGTTTGTAGGGTCTGTCGCCTGCTTGTTTCCATGGATACGCCACTGCTCTGCCTGGAATGTTCCACAGTATGACATTAAACAGCTCTACCTTACATTTATTAAATTACAGGTGGTTTTATTGCTCAAAAACACCTAGAAGATGGAAAGGTTTAATGTCATACTGTGAAACATTCCAGACAAAGCAATAAGATCTCCACAGAAAAAGCATCTTCACCAGAAAAGTTACGCCATGCAGCTTTAAACTACATTTTCAGGAGCTTGTGATCAATACAAGCGTTCATGGTCCTGTTTACCGTATTTTTCGGACAATAAGTCGCACTTTTTTCATGGTTTGGGTGTTTCCTGTGACTTCTACTTCAATGCGACTAAAATATTAAACTTTTCACACTGACAGCCACGAGAGGGCGCTGTAGGCTTTTGTGTCAGTATCTGCTGCTCCCGTTACTCCTGTACCACTGTCACTTAGCTCTACTGCACATGTCTCCTGCAGAAAGAGCCTCTGTCCTGCTGTAAGTAGTGAAATATTCAGCTGAAAACAGAAATCGAGCAGCAGAAAGAAAGTTTGGAGTGAACGAGAAACTTGTGAGGAACTGGCGGAAAGTGGGGATGGAGAACACAGCTTCACAGCAACCGGGAGGAGGCATCATGAAACTTTCCGGGATGTCACTGGATGAATCGACAAAGCCTGGACTTCAATGACACCGAAACCATCCTGTCGGGATTCAGAAAGGCCGGAATAATTCTACCTGGAACTGATGCTGAGTCTGACGACAGCGACACAGAGGAGGAAGCGGCGCTCTGTTTACCTCTGGAGGTCGTGGAGTTGCTCAGAAGTGACACCGAGGATGAAGAATTGAATGGATTTGAGTGAGATGGAGAGTTTGTTAAACTTGTTCTCTTCTGTTGTTTATGTTATAGTTTATCTGAAGAACTGTTCATATGTGACGTTAACAGCCTGTTGTTCTCTGTTCTATTGTTTTTACTAGAACTCGACTTTCAAGACGTCGGTTCCTGGTCTCTGATTTTATAAAATAAATTTCCCTCAAAAAGTGTGACTTATATATGTTTTTTTCTTCTTCATTATGCATTTGTTTGGCCGGTGCGACTTATCCTCCGGAGTGATTTATATTCCGAAAAATATGGTAGTTGTTTGATTTTCAACAAAAAGGTGAGTGTGACTTATTGAAAAAGAGTAAAATAAAGCTCAGATTAAAGTCTAACTCGAGTAACAGCTTCAGACAGAGTAGTGCTTTCAGTTAGCGTGGGCCCTCTAACATAAATTGTAATTCAAGATATTCAACATACACTCAAAATTAAACTTCCTCAGCACATGGAATAGGTACGTTGCATTGTATTTTTTATGTTTACAACTGTT